GGAAAAGCTGTTTGCCTTCCCACCGGAGCGGTACCTATTTATCTACTTGCACTTTGACATGCTTTCAAACTGCTAGGTTAGCAGGAGCAGCTCACCCCATTGCGGAGATTCGAACCGCCGACTTTCTGATCCGCAAGTCCTAGGCTCTGTAGTTTAACCCACAGTGCCACCCACGTCCCTTATATAAGTATTTGAAAGTAAATAAATGTACAGCAGCTTAATATACCGTATTTTTCGCACTATAGGACGCACTTTTTTCCCTCCAAAAATGAAGGGGAAATGTGTGTGCATCCTATGGGGTGAATACAGGCTTTTGCTGAAGCCTGGTGAGCGATAGGGGTCAGTGCGCACCGACCCCTCTCCCTCTCCAGGCTTCAGAAAGCTCTGCGCAGCCCTAGGGAGCCCGGCGCAGCTCCGCGCAACCCCCCAGAGCGATGCCGAAGCTGGCTCCCGTTCTGGGGGCTGGGTTTGGGGGAAGCTTGGGCTTTCCCCACCCCAGCCCCGCGCCTGGGGGGGTATATTTTTTTCCCCTTTATTCCCCCCCCAAAAAATCTAGGTGCATCCTATAGGGCGAAAAATACGGTATTTGAATTAGGCAGTCCAGTGGGAGGCACTTCAGAGAACTTAGGCAGGGTGGCAAGTCGTAAGGGGAAATCACTAACTTCACCATTTTTGCAGTTGGTCAAGCAATATCTAGTAGCACTTCTATGGTTTAACTAATTGTGGCTCATGCAAGGGTAGTTACTCCTGTTGCCAGCCTAAATGCAAACAGAAGGAACAGACTGAGTTCTCTTCCTCCTCTTCATAACCAGAAGCAATGGCCAGTTGTTTTACTTAGGGACAACACAGCATTCATGATAGGGAGTACAACAGTTACCCTAAAGTCCAGGGACATAACTGTTTATCAAAAAGAAAGCTAGATACCTGCACCATAAGAACTTCTCCGAATGTGCTGAAGTACTCCTTCAGGTCTTGCTCAGTTGTTTTCCATGGAAGACCCAGAACTATCAAATCTGATGTTTTCTGTACTGCTCTTTTCACCTTAACAGCTGATGAGGCATCTGCCTCATCCATTTTCCTCTTGTTGTCTAAAGATAGATGTGTCCATCAAACAGTCAGCACTTTTAAAAATAACTAAACAAATAATCCCATTAGTTGCAATGAAACATTTTAGTGGAGCAGATCATTCTAGAGCTACATGCAGCCCAATCCTAAATTTACTCAGAAGCCAACTCATTAATGTTCAATGTAGGGCTTTTAAAAGGTTTCCCTTAAAATGCATGTACTCAGAAGTACTACTGTGTTCAATGAGGCTAATTCCCTAGTAACCGTGTTTAGGATTCCAGCCTTAAAGTGTATTTGCTATAAATACATCAATCGCTCCCACTTGTATTTTGGGGAAAGTCTTATTTTAATCCTTTTCACCTTTAACACTGCTGCCACTGGTAACTTGTATCTAAAATAATAAAAAAGGTATACTACTACTACTACCACTACCACTACTACTACCACTATTATTATTATTATTATTATTATTATTATTATTATTATTATATACTGGCCTTCATCTAAAGATCTCAGGGCAGTTCACAAGAAAAAATAATAATCTAGTTGATCAATGTGGGGGTATAAAAAATAAAAGTTGCCCAATTGCCTAACAATTTGAGCAACTTATAGGGATTTGGAATTCGAGGGCAAACTAAAAGAAAATAAATTATCCATATATAGGTTTTCATTTTCAAAAATTATCCATGATTCTTTCTTTTTTAAAAGCAAAAAAAGCACATACAAACAAAGCACACACCTTTGGGATAGTTAACAACATACACCAGATTTCCCCAGCCATTATCTGGTGCATGCAGAATTCCTTCCACTAATCGGACCCCTCTCATACACTGAGACACGGGGTTCCTGTAACGCAGACCACATGCTCCTGGAAACTGAGCAGTAACTGTGGAGAGCAAGACAGTCCCATCATCCTCTGAAGGAATCTCAATGGGTTCCTCATTTTCATCTTCGGTAACCCGAATGTATTCTGACATTTCTGCCGTGGTGTTGCTAAAGAATAAAAAAAGAGAAAAGCAAGTAATATCTAGTTTTTTTAAACTGTAATCGTTGGTAGTAACAAGTTACTGTAGAAGTGGTTTACTATATGTATGGCACTCTGAAGTAAAAACAGTTGTCCCTCCATTTCCCTAATTAAGCGGTACAGATAAACAATTATCATAGTTCTATGGTAGAGCACATGCTTCACAAGCAGAAGGTCTCAGGTCAATCTGTAGAATCTCCAGCCAAAACAACATGGTATTAGGTTATGTAATAGACCTCTACCTGAAAGACTAGAGAGTCACTATCACTCAAAGTAGATAATATTGAGCTAGATTTACAAATAGTCTGGACTAGTGTTGGAGAGCTTCCCGTGTTCTTATACATATTATGGGTTATAGCTACCAAAGTCTTACTCAGAGTAGACAAACTGAAATTAATGGATGAGAGTCGGCAAACTCTTATTTTATTCTGCTTTTCAGATGAAAACTATATCCAAAATCAGTTCATATCAATCAGTAATCTTCAGGTCCTGACCTCATCTTACAAATGTAAATAAAATTAAAAACAAACAAGAGAAATGTATGGAAATGAGCTAAGCAAAGCCAAAGGAAAATGGCAAGTGGTACAAGCATTTATATCTAGTTTAAGAGACCTTGTGGCCTCTGCTGTTCTGGCTGACAGCATTAAGTCAGACAGCACTTTCTCTCACTTCAGCAGTCCCAAGGCAAGTGCTAGTTGGAGAAGAGTTCCTCCTGCCAGGGAGAGGGGAGCTCTCTTGTAATTATTATGTCTCCAGCCGATGGCTGGGGGCCAGAATGACCTCATACGTTTTCTCTAAAGTACAGAATACACAACCTTTCATTGGCCCTTACTCCTCTGTCTAATGGTAGAACCCAGAATGTGCTTCCCCTTTCAAATAATGTTAGAAAACAAGGATGAATATCCCTAGAAAAGTTATTTCTGGAATCACAGAATTGTCGAATTGGAAGGGATCCTAAGGGTCATCTAGTCCAACCCCTTGCAATGCAGAAATCTTGACTAAAGCAGCCTTGACAGATGGCCATCCAACCTCTGCTTAAAAATCTCAATGAAGGAGTCTACCACCTTCCAAGGAAGTCCATAGCTCTTACTTTCAGAAAGTTCTCCTTTCTTGTAACCTGAAGCATGTAGAATACTTTGAGATCATTAGAGGAAATGGACCTTCATTTGTTTCAAGTTGTGCATTTTAGTGTTGAATTTTATATTTTATTGCTTATAAGCCTAGGATAGCTCTGTTAGTAGAGAATAAGACTCTTCATCTCAGGGCCATGGGTTCGAGCCTCACACTGGGCAAAAGATTTCTGCACTGCAGGGGGTGGGGCTAGTGGTCCCTTCCAACTCAACCATTCTATGATGTTATGAATCCCACCCTGGGATGTACAGATGGGGTGGGTTACTCTTTTAAAAAGTAAAAGAAATCCAGACAGATGGGCAGGGTATATAACATTTGTTGTTGTTGTTGTTGTTGTAAAATAGTAACCTATAAATTATTATTATAAAACAGTAACCTATAAAATAAGGTAGTAAGTAACCACCACCACAAATATTAGGAGTTAGAAATACATTATCAACACACCTAACAAAATTTAAATTGCAATTAAAAAATTACATTAGTAACATCAAAATTTAAGTTACAGATAGGTAGCCGTGTTGGTCTGCCATAGTCAAAACAAAAAAAATTCCTTCCAGTAGCACCTTAAAGACCAACTAAGTTAGTTCTTGGTATGAGCTTTCGTGTGCATGCACACTTCTTCAGATACACTGTGTAACTGAAGAAGTGTGCATGCACACGAAAGCTCATACCAAGAACTAACTTAGTTGGTCTTTAAGGTGCTACTGGAAGGTATCAAAATTTAAAATATTTAAGAACACATTTGATGCATTGATACACCTCTTTAACCTGGCCCACCCTATTCTCTTGATTGCAGTGTATTTTAACATTTTTGATATTTTATTTCTAAGTTATTGTAACCCATCCTGAGACCTCATTGTGTAGCATGGATAAGAATCAGAAATCATCATCATAACCACCAACATAATATTAACATTTACTTCCGAGAAAACACACAGAACGTTCAGCTGTAAAGACATGATAAATATAATGCTTGCCCTTATTAAGAAAGACCATGCTTAGAATAATAAACGCAATGTTTACAATTAATAATAAAAACTGTGCTTGCCATTATTAATAAACATAACGCTTTCCATTAATACTAAATATAAATCTTACCAACAATTTTAATGCTTACCACTACCAATAATAAAAATTACGTTTGCTATTATTAATACTGTAAAGAATAAATAATAAAGGATCGACCCCCCGCCCCAGCGCGTTTAACAGGTCAACCCTCTGCGCTCGTTTACTATGAGGTAAGCTGCGCGGCCAACTGCCTTTATACTGTACACGCATATATATATGTTGTATACTTATATATGTGCTTCGAATCGGACGTCCTGAGCTTAGTTTATTCCACAAAAGATACACCGTGTGCGACAACGGCCCTCCACGTTTCACCACTCACTTTCCCGGCCTTCCCGCGCTAGGCCCGAAAGCCACCCTGAGGCCTCCGCTAGGCCGCTTCAGCCCACCCCCAAGCCAGCTCAGGAGCGGGGCCCAGGTTTCCTCTCAGCCTCGGATCCCGCTCGCTTACCGTCGGCGCGAGGCCTGAGGGAACAACCGACCAAAGAACGACGACGGCGAGTTCCAGCCCCTGCGTGTGCCGCGCGAGGAAGAGGAGGGGGACTCTCGGGCCTCCGCGGTTTTTCCCTCCCTGCCGACAAAATGGCGGCGCCCTCTTTCCCCTCAAAAGCAAGAGGCTCGAAGGCGCGTTCTCGGAACGGTCCATCCTGACCGCGCGGGGAGGCGACAGGGGTCTTTTGGAGACGCTGAGGAGTTATCCGCTCCGAGGAGAGCTCCGTGGACTGCAAATAGGGCTTCCGATTTGGTGGTACTTTCCCAGCCCGTGCTTGTCGGGGGTGGCCCCGTTTAAATAATTTGTTTGAGAGGAAAGTTGATGGCACTCCCCTTCCTCTAGCCATAAACCGAGAGTGGTATGGTCCACTCGTCTGCGTACTGCGCTTGCGCTCAAGGAAATGGTGAGCTAAGGAAGGGGAGGATGAAAAAGGAGATCCGAGCAAAGCTCGCTGGGTAGCGGTGGTTGGTAGTGCGCGTGCGCATGAGTTGTCGGTGAAGCGTGAGAGAAAACCGTTGCACAATATGGCGGGGACGGGGGGGGAGGGCAAAGTTATATTGAAGCGCATGCGCAATAGCCGAAGCGTTTCTGTGAGGTAATTAACAAAAAAATGTTAATTTTTGTTGTCCAAACTTGATTTTGAGGTATTTTGTTCTGTTTCTCCTCAGCACCAGACAGGCCAGGAAACCTCTTTCAAAACCCTTGAGGAGTTTACACATGTGGAGACGTTCCTTATATTAGTTTCCTCATAAACTTGATACAGGCAATTATCAGATTCAGACTCAATTGATACAGTAACATACAACCTTTAAAATAACTGCATTTCCATTTATTTGTTCATTCTTCCAAAGCAGCAAATAATAAACCTCCAGTGATCCATCAATGAAAACAGCTCCCTTAGTTGTAAGTTACATTTTGGCAGTGTTGTAAATAAAATATATGCCCTTTTCCCTTATGGGGTATCCAAGAGCCCATATAGAGTCCTTACATAGGTTCCCTATTGGTAGGAGAAAATAACAGAGGCCAACCAGAGAATATTGAGAAGCAAAGCAGCTAGTAAGCTTGATCTTTATTGATCTGTTGCAACAGGGTACTCCCCTCACACGCAGGAGAGGAAGAGGACCCAGAAAGATGGTGTGCAAGACCTTATAAAGACTTTTGAAATTCCCATTCTCTAGATCAAGACCACCCCCAGAAACATTATGCATTCATCACAGAAGGGGTGTAACCTAAGACCACCCCCCAGATACATCCCACCTACATCACAGAAATTTAAATATTGTTTTTCTCCTGTTGTTGTTTATCTCCTGTCTGGCAAGTTACTTGATTGGATTTCCCGGGGAGCCTGGCCATTCTTTTGTAGTGGTAAAATACTTATTTCCTGGGCCAGGTCACAGGCTCACACCTTATTCAAACAGACATATCCTTGAGACAGGATTTGTGAGGAAAGAGACAATGGGGAGGCTTTTCCAGTTTAACCTTGCAGAGAAAGGATTTGGTCAGTTTGGGAATCAAAATGGTTCCAGGTTGGCCTTCCTGTGTTGATCTATGTATGTGCGGTTATGAACATTGCCATATATCTAAGACCATAAAATTCCTATCACATTATCCCCCCTTTGGGGCTAGAATTTTTCTTAAAAATTTTTGCCCCACAAATAATAACATCGTATGTTGTAAATGGATGTCTTTGTATAAATATATCATAAAAATAACACATGTTGCGTTTTGCTACTAAATTACTTGTGGCATTCTAACACTTTGGGAGAGACTATTTACTCAATAGTGTTCTATGCTTTACACCTAGCAGGAAGGTCCACTAATGACTGAAAAATGCAGTTGGTGTTTTGTCCTTCGCCATTTTTGTGTGTTTCTCAGGTGTCAAGCTAGCTCTTCTGTGGTCTCACACTGACATAGTGCTACAGCAACACATCCTGTCTGTTGAATCCCCTCGGGGCTTTCATTTAACCATGTCGCCTGGCATTCACCATAGCTGGCACAGGTTTGGGCACGTCCTGAGGGAAATGTCTTCGCCTTTGTCCAGTCTATGGGATTTTTTATTATAGGCTGTGGTCTTGCACTCATGGGAAGTTGCTCACTTGCACTTAAAGGACCAAAAAGCTAATTGCAGCCTGGATACACTTGCCCAATTCAAACTGAGTCCAATTTGAATTTTTCTTGCCCCATGGTTCTCAACTCTTCAAACCAATCTGTTAAAAGAAAACCATTCTTAACAAGGGCAGTTGTCCAAATAAGTCAATTTAAGTCTATAAGGGATCATTCCTGCTAAACCAAAGCATATCCACCTTCATGTTTCTTAGAAGCTTCTCCTTGGTAAAGCAAGTTTTGGCACATTTTTTAAAATGGGTAGGGAAGGTTGGCATAGTGCCAGGTGGAACAATGAAATGTGGTTATAAATTGATCTAAACATTGGACTACACAATAGTGTGAGCTATTAGAAAGTATAAAATGTATGAGAATCCTCCACTGGGGTGTAAGGAATAAGACATTAAACATAAAAACAATTACACACAAAAATAGCCCCCCCCCTTTGTGGAAATAACACACTGTCAGACACATTTCAACATCCTTACGTAATAACACATAATACAAAACAAACTAATAAAATATCAGTTGCATATCTTGAGACAATTGTGATCTTCTCAATCCTGGAGCACAGTCTTAAGGTTCAAGTGAGAAAATGTCCTTGCAATTCAACTCCTCCCCCCTTTGTCAGCCCCACTCCCCCGTCAGTCTATATCCTTTGAAAGAAGATAGCTGTGGGCACTTTGAAAACTTTGGTGTCTGTTGCAGGTGGTGGCGAAGCTTTTTCATCATAGGTCTGTAGTAACACATCTGTAGAAGTGACATCCTGTAAGGGGGCGGGGGTTTTAGGGACTTAAAAGACAGTTAGAAAAAGAAGGGGCAAAAGCCCCCCCCCAATCTCCTTGAGTTATTAGCTGCAAATAATAAAATCTTAGCATGTTAAGCATTTTACTCATTTTAATATTATCACATTTTCATATAATTACTGTTATTATCTGCTAAGTTTGTTTGCTTTCCTTCACTTAGTTTTTGTTGTTTCCCCCCCCCATATTATTACATAAAAAATTACTCCACGTGTATAGAAAGAGAACTGTAAAAAATACAACAAAGGTTAAAAAATAAAAAAGAAAGCAAAAAATTAGATTACCAGTCAGATGAAAACATACTTGACACAAAGACATCAAATTTAGAAAAGAATTATTATTAAATAATAATAAGATATTATCAAAACCACACAGATTACCACTGGACTGAAAAAAATGGTAAAACAATGGAAAAAAGGTTCAAATTCAGCATGTGCTATCTGATAAGTAGAACTTGATGAAAATGACTTTCAACATGTGATGGACATGTCCCCAAAGTAAAACACACACACACACACACACACACACAATGACCTATGAGGAACCAAAAATAAATAAATGCTAAGACACACAATTTTATTTTATTTTTAAACCTGAAGTAACCTGAAGTAACCTGTTTTGGCATTCTAACAACCCAATGAAAAACTGATTAATAAATGAAAAACAGATTATTTGTAACCTAAAAAAATGTCAAAGCCACAAAGAGATAGAAGGAAATCAACTAATATAGCAGGGATTCAGACTTGTTTCACAGAACAGAAAGAAAGTTGCTGTGGGAGGAAAAAGGGACAAACACTTTGTTATCACATATCCTGTTAAAAGGGGAAATTATTTCATGTGAGAAGCCTGTCAGGAAATGCTGTTCCTAAAATTCCCATTGAGGGGGGGAATGCTTTGATATTTACCTGTGAAAAGAATTTGGCATGTTAAGATTTGGAACCTGGAAAGCTCTTGACTTTTGATGGGCTAGTTTTTTTTGTTTTGTTTTGTTTTTTTAAACCCTTTTGTCTTATGTAGCCCCGGAGCAAGGACACATTAAGGGTGATTTCCCTCAATGGTTCCAAGTTTTTGCATTTGGATAAATTTCTCTCTGCAGTTCTCGAAGAAACCTCCTCTCCCCCCCTTACAGTTCCCCCCTTCCTCTCTCTTCTTTAGCTGATCTAGCCTCTGTGCATGTGCAGAGTTCATGTCTCAGCAAACCTTTTATACTATTGAAAATGTTGCATCCTTTGGCTAAATTAGAATAAGGAAGGGAAAGGTAAGGAGTAGATTTTAAAAATAGGGTTAGATTTTTAAAACAAAAAGAGAAACTCAGCAATTTAAGCATTCACCAAAGCTAGCAATTTCAGCCCAAGCAAAAGGAGTGCTTCCTTTATGTACAGGAAAGGGCTATCATTATTGGTCATTTTATCTGGTCATTCGCGGAACAATCAACCGCTCTCTTATTTATGAGTAAAAATGGCCAGAATCAGAATTCATAGGATTTTTTCCCCTTTATTTTTTTAACATTCTCAGTCATGGTCAAGGCTAATTCTACTTAACTATATGAATTTTTATGTGCTTAAACTTTGAGTAGACTTTTAAGTCTGATTTTTGTAAATAATAGACAAAATGATAAACACTGTAATCACTTAAATGCCTGATATCACCAGTTCTGCTTCAAACATCACGAGCAAATCTGGGCTGAATTTCAACACATCAGCTACAAATTGGGAAAGTTGAAAGGGACCTGGGGTCATCTAGTCCAACCCTAAAATACAGGGTTCATAGCAAGATTTGTACTACCAGAAACACACACATTCACCTCTCACCTTTAAAAACAAAGAGCAAATCTGGGCTGGATTTCAACTCATCAGCCACAAATTGGGAAAGTTGAAAGGGACCTGGGGTCATCTAGTCCAACCCTAAAATACAGGGTTCATAGCAAGATTTGTACTACCAGAAACACACACATACTTATGTACACAGACACAACTGGGGAAGAGATCACAAGCCATGCGCCTATCATGTACTAAGGAAGAGGAAAATAAAAGTACCCAAGTAGTTTGAGTGAGAGTTTACTTCCTTAGACTAAAGAGTGAAAGTTCCTAGATAAATTATCTTTAAAGACTGAAGTGAACAATTTTCCTAAGATAGGGAGAGGATCTCTTATAAAGCATAGTTAAAACAGCCATAGATTTGATTTGAAAGGAATACAAAAGTGAACAATTTTTCCTGAACTTGCAGAGGAATAGTATGCCTAATCTATGCCCCCCCCTTGCAGTTTCCTTTAAAGGAAGCTTACTCGGGAGTAAATTTACCTGGCACAGAATAAGAAGAAGAAGGGGAAAAAAACCCCTGAAAAAGACAGAATGAAACAAGGGGGGCATTTTCTAAGAAAAGAGGTCAGGAAGTCTTATAGAGACTGATATCAGGAGCCTTACAATAACTCTTCTGTCCAACCAAATCAAAGTTAAAACTGGACTCACATATTTTTCTTAGAAGGAACACCATACTTTCATAGGCATATGCTTAATGAAATACATACACTGCATTTTAGCTTGAGAGAGCAGTTGGCTCAACTAGGCTTTTGCAGCAGAAACATTAGGTTAACTTAGACTGGAACACAGGTGTAGTCACAAACTCAAAAGTTACAACACAACATCATTTACCATTAGACTTAAAATCACCCTCCCCACTGAAACTAGAGAAAGGAGGTGGGGTAATCCTCCTTTCAGAACACAAGTAGCACGTATACAGGATTTTACCACTTGGGAGAAAAACTCTCTTTTAGAGCCTCTTTAACAAACATTTGCACACTTCATTCTCCATTTTGTCTTGTTTTAAGATTGATAAGGCTCAACATTGCTTCCTTAGATTTAGAATTTGGAGCAAGCTTGCATTTTTATTTTAGATGGCACATTTAAGATAAGCAGCTGCTGGATGTTACCTAAGTACAATTTAAACACTGGAAAAACGTTTCTTAAACACAAATTGAAGGGGACTGTCAGAGTCCAGGCGGGAAGTAAGCACCAATTGGGCTTCTTTCACGCCAGGGGTCTGGGGACTATTTTCTTTTGACTGAGGTGCACCCATTTTAAGAATTTTAATAGCGCTAGCTTTTACTTTTATACTGCAGTCGGGGTTTTATCCCCACATTTCAGGAAACACAATAATTTATAGGAACTCAAACACTGAGATCCTGCTCTGTTCCAGTAACAAGAAGCCGAAAGCACCAGCCTGAAGATGACGAGTGAGACCTCGTCGAAACGTCGCCTAGACACCCCAACTTTTACACGGGAAGACACCCGAGAACACCAAAACCTGCATTCCTGTACCCGTGAAAATCTACGAAAGCAAATATATATATATATATATATATATGAAAATATTTATTTTTTTAAAACAAAGTCATACAGAAAACAATTACTTCAAATTATCACCGCTAAAGGTGGTCATACAAGCTACTGAATGTAATGTTATAAGAATTTTTAGGTATTTTTATATGTGTGTGTGTGTGTGTGTGTGTGTGTGTATAAAATAAATGCTCATAAATGTACCAAGCAAACACATACAAATATGTAAACCACATGTCTGAAACCCACAGAAAAGTCCTGAAACCATTTTCTCTCTCCCAAAATGACCTCAAATATTTCTCTGCAAGGAAATATCTGCCTTAAGGGCACATTTAAGGTGTGAATAGGGTGAGCCTGTGACCTGGCTCAGGAATTAAGTATCATTACAAAAGAATGGCCAGACTCCCCAGGTAATCCAGTCAAGTGACAATTAACAGGTAACCTGGCAGACAGGGTAAAAACAATGCATTCAGATTTCTGTTGTAGACCACCTTTTCTGTGATGTAGGTATGATGTATCTGGGCGGTGGTCTTGGGCTACACCCCTTCTGTGATGTATGTATGATGTATGGAGGATTGGTCTAGAGCTCCAGGACAGGGAATTTTAAAATGGCTATATAAGGACAAGCAATAATAATAATAATAATAATTTTAAAAAAAATATTTATACCCTGCCCTTCCTGGTTCAGAAAACCGGGCTCAGGGCAGCTACCAACAAATTTAAAACACTTAATTGTGATATAACAAAAACAGCATAAAATACAGTATAAAAGCGTGAATAACAATAAATTCAAAGTTCAAAAATCAATTTAGGGGAAAATCCATCCAATAAACATTAGATGATCACCAGGGCTAGCTGGCTAAATTAGTCCTATTTGGGCCAGCAAGGAGGCCAGGGAAAAATTAGCTGTGGGATCCCAGAGCGGGTAATCTTCATAAAAAGGGGAGGGAGAAGGAAGGAAGGGGAATAAAAGATCAGGCTAAATTCAAATTGAAAGCCAGGCAAAATAGCTCTGTCTTATAGGCCCTGCGGAAGGAGGTTAAATCCTGCAGGACCCTGGTCTCATGGTTTGGTCCTCCTCTCTCCTGCATGTAGGGGAGCACCCTGTTGCAACAGTTAATGAAGATCAGGCTTACTAGCTGCTTTGCTTCTCAATATTCTCTGGTTGGTCTCTGGTTGTTTTCTCCTACTGATAGAGAACCTACAAAACGACTCTATATGGGCTCTTGGGTACCCCATAAGGGAAAAGGAGCAGTTTTTTTACCTATAACGTTAACTTAGTGTCAGTTACAGATAGGTAGCCGTGTTCGTCTGCCATAGTCAAAACAAAAAAAATTCCTTCCAGTAGCACCTTAAAGAAGCTGCTGAATTGCAACTTATTACCAAACTTAACACCATGGAGAGACCTGGTCTGAACAAAGACATTGGATTCTTATCTCATTATACATGACAAAGCCATTTTTCACCTTCTCACCCCTTGCTTTTTCCTGTAAGACCTATTGCAGTAGTTAAGAGTCGTCAACAGGCTCATCACAGCTATCTGCCAATCACCCATTCCCACCACCCTTCTGAGTAATACCCCTCCCCACCTTCTCACTATGTAGAAGGATCTGGCAACTTCTGTTTCAGTGTATCTGAAGAAGTGTGCATGCACACGAAAGCTCATACCAAGAACTAACTTAGTTGGTCTTTAAGGTGCTACTGGAAGGAATTTTTTTTGTGTTAACTTAGTGCTTCACACATGGTATGGCTTTTATCAGACTTTCACCTTGTTGTGTGGAGGTATTTTGGCCCACTCTTCTTTACAAAGTCACTTCAGTTCATTGATGTTTGCTCATATGAAATGTGCGTTTTCAGTGCTAGCAAAATTGGGATCCTCTCTAACTACAGTGGCGCCCCGCAAGACGGAAAACTCGCTAGACGAAAGGGTTTTCCGTTTTTTGAGCTGCTTTGCAAGACGAATTTCCCTATGGGCTTGCTTCGCAAGACGAAAACGTCTTGCAAGTTTGTTTCCTTTTTCTTAACACCATTATTACAGTTGCGACTTGACTTCGAGGAGCAACTCATAGAACGCAGTGCACATAGTAGCCTTTTTTGAGGTTTTTAAAGACTTTGGTGATTTTTGAAGCTTTTCCAAAACTTCTTTTGCAGCCATTTGGTAAGTTAAGCTTTAAAAACTTTTTTGGGGGGGGTTGGATTTTGGGTTGGGGTGTTTGGAATTCAAGGACATGGTGTTGGGGAGGGGTTTGCAAGAATCTGGAAGCTTGTGTGTTTTTTTCTGCATTTTTATGATTTTCTGTGACCATTGGGCCACTCTGCTGTTTTTTTAAAAAAAATCTGGATTTGAATTTCTGTGTGGTGGGTGACTGGGGGAACAGTTGGGGAGGGGTTTGCAAGAATCTGGAAGCTTGTGTGTTTTTTTTCTGCATTTTTATGATTTTCTGTGACCATTGGGCCACTCTGCTGTTTTTTTTAAAAAATTCTGGATTTGAATTTCTGTGTGCTGGGTGACTGGGGGAACAGTTGGGGAGGGGTTTGCAACAGTTGGGGAGGGGCTGGGGGAACAGTTGGGGAGGGGTTTGCAACAGTTGGGGAGGGGCTGGGGGAGCTTTTCAGACGATGCTTCGAGGTGACTGATTGCACCACCATCACCCTGCGGGAATTCTGGAAGGACCACTTTGACATTGTCACCTGCTTGAAGATGATCACCACGGCCTGGAATGGGATCAGCCAGAGAAATTTGAATTGCGCTTGGCGCAGCCTGTGGCCGGACTGTGTGGCACCAAGTGACTCTGATGCACCAGAGTCAACAGTGGTGCAGGACATTGTTGCCTTGGGGAGGACCATGGGCCTGGAGGTCACAGAGGAGGACATCAGCGAGCTGGTGGTGGAGCACGACCACAAGCTGACCACCCAGGAGCTGGTCGAACTGCAGGCAGAGGCTGCGCAGGAGCAGGCCTCGCTGGAAGAGGAGGAAGCAACTGAGGAACGGCTGTCCTCCAAAGAACTGAGGGACATTTGCCTGAAGTGGAAGGATGTGCAGGCTTTTGCACAGCGGCACCACCCTGACAAGCATGTGGCACATGACCTTGTGAACACTTTTGATACGAGGGTCATGTCGCCTTTCAGGGAGGTGCTGAAAAGGTGGATGAAGCAGCAGACCATGGACAGGTTCTTCAGCAAGAAGCAAAGAGTGGAAGAGGAACCTTCTTCGAGTTGTCCCCCAGAGTCTTAGAAAATGTACTGTACACTTTGTTGATTTTTAAATGTTTTTCTGTCATGTTTAGAAACTTAAATTATTGTTCCTTCAATTTTTGAAATGCTCTTTACAGTATGTGGGACTTTAAAGAGCACTTAATAAACTCTTGTTGTACCAAATTTGGCTTTGTTTGGACTTTTTTTGACCATAGGAACGCATTAATTGATTTTCAATGCATTCCTATGGGAATTCGTGATTCGCAAGACGAAAAATTCGCTAGACGAAAAAACTCGCGGAATGAATTAATTTCGTCTTGCGAGGCACCACTGTATATTCCTATGAAGAGGAGACCCAAGGGTCCCAGCATGCCCAAAAGCCCTTCCTCCTCTTTGTAATATAAGGTATTACTCAGAGGTGAATGGAAAGCAATAATAAAATGCTCAAAGGAGCCCCTTTCTTTATCATTGGGTTCCAAAGCTCTGAAGTCTTTGCTTTGAAAAGGGGGAGGGGGAGGGGGTGAGCTGTCCATGTAGAAGCTCAAATTGTAAATTTTTGCAAAACTTTGTTGCCACTGTGGGCGAGTTTCACACATTCACATCAAATCTTGTTCTTAAAAGATTTCCTCCCCCTTTTTCCACAGCATGTGACAGAAGCAACCTCCGTCTAAGGAAGATGGTAGTGAGAGGACCTGGCAGTGAGAGGACTGCTTTAGAGAGCCAAATAACAACTTCAGAAGAAAAGGTTTCACACAGGTCACACATCTTGCCAAAAGGTAGCAGGCACTCTGTGCATTTCAGCTTCTTCTAGTCTATACTTAATAACAACATAAGGGGGGGGGGAATCAACAATAGTTTGGCTTCAAATGTGCACACACACTGCATGGCAATTCATGTTTTGTACTGATTTTAAACTTTAGTGTGTGTTTTTATTAACACAGTTTTAATACTACAAAACAATTCCCGCCTCACCTCAAAGAGGAGACAAAGGGAGTCTAAAGTAAAATAAAAGACAAACCAAAAACATGAATCTGTCAGCACAGCCCATCAGAAAGTATCAAAATTCAGGTCCACAGTGTTTAACACAGCCAGAAAACTAGCATATTGCTAGTTGTTTTTGTGTTTCTTGTTTGCTTGCATAAACAATAAAAGAGTGCCAGTCTGCCACAAAAGAATCTTTATATTTTGTTCCTTAGCCAGGCATAATTTGTTAATTTTTCCACCAAAGCAACTTGCAAAACTAACATAGCATTCTTTATGTCCTTCCAATATGGAGCAACAACTAGCTGGGCAGCTTCAAGAGGATCAGTTTTTAAAGGTTTGAAATGCTAACCCCCACTGTTCTTTTGAAAAATATTTTCTGCATTTCTCGAGATTCCAATTGTTGCTGTCAAGTCATTTTAATAATTTCTGCAAAAGCTACAGTCTAAAACTGACACTTTTTCACAAGTCCACACTGAGCTCGAATTTTGAGTTCTTTTAACAATTGTTCCGCATTAGCATTGCTTTCTTCTTTGCCATATCCTCAACCTACCATTTTAAGCTGAGCAATTAAGACAAACTAATTCTCTCGGCCTAACAGCACTGCTGGGCACACAAATATGTGCTTTGCCAGCTTACCCTCATGCCATGGAGAGAGTTCAGAGAGTGTCCCCTGGGTATAAACAAAAGCAGCACTTGTAGCCGCCAAGTGTGCTCAGCTAAGTACACCCGTCAGCACAATACATAACACACTTCAATAATGATTTGTTGCCCCAGGTTAAATGTGCCCGTGTGGGCAAGCAAGCACAGTGTAATGATTAGCCACCAGCCCTCATAAAGGTTACAATGGAGTAGCAAAGGAGCTCTAATGGGCATCTTAATATAGCTTTGCGCTAAAGAGGTTAGCTACAGGTAACTTCCTAGCGTGGCATATTTTACTCTTCAGTTCACTCTTGGTTTTTCTCACATATGAAGTAGAGATAACACCTTTCCAAGGGTTCACTAATAAAATGATTATAGCCTGTGGAATGTGGAGATGAAAAAGGTCATACCCTTGGGGCTTCTAGGATGTAGCTCTGCTCACTTTTAACATCTAGCCTCTCCTGCGCTGCACTCTTTTCTGTGGCTGACCTACCCAAAATCCAGAAAGGAACTACCAACATTCAAAGTTCCTCCTCCTTTCTCTAGTTAGTTAGTTAAAGCAGTTTACATAAAATTTTAGATAAACATTAAGATTACCTACTTCAGACTAAGTGAATGACTCAGGCGGTGCAGGGGTCGGTGTGCACGAGGTGTGGAGGCAGAAAACAGTCCTCACTAGGACTGCTGCAAGCACACACTCTTCTTCAGCCATTAGCTCCCTCAGCACAGCAAGATATAAGCAGCTAAAAGATCCCAGTCTAAATAACATATAAGAGCTGGCAATTACCACAGCAGGAGAGCAACAGCAGAGCTGCTCCAGCGCAGCTGTTTTCTCATTAAAAGCAAAAAGTCATTTGCACTCAGGGACTCACAGCAACAGCAACATCAACAAAGAGGCCAGGAATAAATGTCTCTTAGTTTTCCCTGTAAAGGGGGAAGGGTGAGTGTTGTCCAAGTGGTAAACAATGATTATTAGAGACTTTTTAAATGGTCTGGATGGAGCCCTCTGTTGTTGTTGGGTTTTCTCATACCAAAGGCTGTTCTTTGTGCAGGAACACTGATGAGCCACCAAGGAACCTTGGTTCCTTGTCCACACATTGTAAAATGTTTGCAGGTGAATGGCAATGCCTGCAATCCCCCTTTAGACCTAGCCATACCTTTACCTGTCCCACCCCAGATGTCATGTATGATATCAGGTGTAGGGTAGGTGGGTGTGGCTTGACCAAAATGGCCTTGGTGGGTCAAATGAGGGGACCTTGTGGACCTAGTTAAGCCCACAAGCCAGATGTTCCCCACCCTATTATACTAGTTTCCCAACTTTGTTATAGTCATTACTGTGGGTGTTCAGTCCTAATCCCCACTACCTATCCAAGAACAACACTGCAGTGAAGGCTTGGCTGGAATCTGCAGTGAAGTGAGTTCCATAAGTTACCCAGACAGCAAGAGTTTGTGGCAGCATCTTCTCTCTCCCTTCAACTTCAACTGCCGACCAGAAATGCCCAGAAGCAGTTCATCAGGTGGATGTCCTGAACCCCAACATATCCAGAGTTATGGTAAGTCCTGATAGTGCACACAGTCCCAAGGGCAACACTAGAGAGTAGTCAGACTGTCCAAATGATAAAATATCAAATTACCAGTCCAGGTCCAATACAACGAGCAAGGTTCAAAGTCAATCCGCAGCGTCAGATTTCCACCTCTACAGAAGATCCAGGGTTGGAACACCTGGGGTCAGTCCTGAAGTCCAGTGGAGTTCCCAAAACAGCCAAGCTGTGGTACATCAACGGAGAAAGTTGAGCAGACACAGAGTCTCTGGCTTGCTTCCAATCTTGATTGTTGCAAATGAGTTTGCTCCAGCTGAGCAACTCTGCCTTGCCACTTGATGAAGCATGTGATCCTCACCTGCCCTGAGCTTAATCCAGCTGAGTGACCACAAAACTTCTTCAGACCTAACAGGCCCCATGATCTCTACTTGGTCCACTATGTTGGCTATTTGCAGTATGGTAGCGCTGCAGAGAGCTTGCTGGGGAGACCATGCATTAAAAAGGGACTCAAAAAGTACTTAAACAAGGTTTTAATTACAAAAACAAAAACTCCTTATACACTAAATACATCAACAACAAACCAGACCCAACCACCAACCCATCCCCCAGGGTAATGGGAGAGCTAGGTGCTGCTCCTTATACTACACCCAAATGCTGACACAGCTTAATCAATACAACTCAGCAGCACCTGCTATGTTTCACAACTGTAAAGCTGGGTCTCGTTATTTTGCTCTGGCCCTTGCTCTGGCCCCTTAAAGACATACACATCGGGTGGAACAATGATGAACCTTTACATTTAAAGAAACCATTCAACATTTCCCCTGCGGTTCATCATTGTGGAACATAAACATGAAGCATATTTTGTACATGTCTTTCATGTGTAACCTTTGGAAGTGCTTTTGTAAAAATGTCCGCAATTTGATTGTCACCTGGAACATATTCAAATACAACCATTTCATCAGCAATTAGTTTCTTTACAAACTGTAAACATAATCTTAAGACTCTAGTGCGCTGCGTATTGGTTTCTGAACATAGGATAGCGAGTCCACTCTGGGAATCAAGGTAAACTTTTACTGGTAGTGTTACTTGCATCTGTAGGTCTGCAAATACTTGCAGATACCATTCTACATCACGAGTTGCCTGAACGCATGCACATAATTCACTCTCTGTTGTGGAGAGACAAATAATGGTTTGTGTCTGGGACTTCCATTCAAATGGACAACCGTTATAACAAAACACCATACCAGACACACCCCTGCAATTATTTTGTTCCACTGCATGAGATGCATCGCAGAAAATTTCAAAACCTTTGTCAATACTTGTAAACTGCAACCTATAGTGTTTGGTATGTTTAAGGTACATTACCACTCTCTTAAGAGCAGAGAAACATTGCGTAGTGGGCTCTTCCACATTGTGATGCATCTTTTAACAAAAGCTTAACTGTTTCGTATTTTACACTTGGTGAATAACACAAATCATAATCTTCACGTTGAATTTGTTGAAAACCCCTAGCAACTAATCTAGCCTTCTACCTTACAACTTCATTTTTTTCATTCATTTTAATTCTATAAACCCATTTTGAATCAATAAGTCTCATATCTGGGGTTTGTGGTACAAGAGACCAAGTGTTATGCTCTTTTAAAGAAGCTGTCTCGGAGTTCATAGCTTTATACCAATTTGCAGCTTGGTGCTTAGGTAAATTCTGAACATCACTGTAGCTTTTTGGCTCAAAAACCGCCTTATTGGCATACACAGTATTAAAATGTTCATCTGCAAATCGTTGTGGCTTCTGCCTCTTTCTATCTGAACGTCTCAGTCCGGAAGGAGAGTCAGACTCCTCAGACTTAATGGAACTAAGTAAATTACTAGTTTCAGGTTGTAAATCATCACTGTCAGACTGAAGAGATGCCTGTTGGCTAAGCTCACGGTCAGAAAACTCAAGAGAATCAAACCTCCCTTCAGGTGCCTGTAACTTTAAATCATCAAACAAATTATGAGATTCAACAGGCTTTTTGTCTTTTTCCATTAATTTGGAAGCACCATTTCCTGCTGCTGCTGCTGCTGCTGCTTCCTCTTCTTCCTTAGTATCATTTATACCATTAGTATCTTGGAAAACAGCAACTCCATTCCAATTTACAGTTTGTATCATGCTTCTGGTAATATGAAATTTGCCAGTTGCTGGTATGTAAATTCTGTACGCCCCCTGCTGGTAGCCCATTAATTTTCCCTGAACACTACGCTCACCCAATTTCTGCTTAGCGGGATAATGCATAATTACATCTGAACCCCAAATGTGTAGGTATTTCAGATTAGGGCGTTTTTTAAACAACTTCTCATAGGGGGTGACATCTAAACCAGAATGATAACTGCGATTTCTAACATAACAAAAAGCATGGAGCGCTTCGGCCCAAAAGACTTTGGGCAGATTAGCATCGTGCAGATAAGTTTTAACCCCTGCCTGTAGGTCACGCTGCACAACTTCAACAAGCCCATTTTGCCAGGGACTTCGGGGGCAAGATAACTCATGAGTAGTCCCCTGTGCTTCCAGGAATTTCTCAAAATCCTCAAACAAATTCCCCGCCCCGGTCAGAAAACAGGTTCTTAATAGGTTTGTTAAAATGTGTTTTTACCCAGCTGCAAAAAACTTTATACTTTTCAAATGCTTGGGACTTCTCGGCTATTGCATAAGTCCAACAGTATCTACTATACTGGTCTATCAGAGTGAGCCAGTACTTAGAACCTCCTAATGATGGTGGGAGTGGCCCAACTAAATCACAATGTACACGCTCAAATGGCTCAGTTACTTTCCTAGCTGAGCACCTACCCTTGCGTGCAACCTTAATCTTATTCTTGCAACAGGATAGACATTGCATAAAGAATTTACATGGTTTTAAGTTGAGGCCATTAACAATATTCTTTGTCTTAATTACATCAGCAAAATTCAGATGTCCCAGAATTCTGTGCGCCTCATGCACACACCCGGAATGTGGCCTTACATTCCTCAATCCCTGGCTTGACTGTGCTGCTCTGCAATTTATAGGCGATTGGGAGTAGGTGCGAAAATACAGTCTATATAAACCATCAGAGTCCCGGGCATAAAATAGACGTTTGTTCCCCTCAAAAAACTCACACATTGAATTTAAGAAACGCACAGTTATGCCTTGACGAGCAAAACACTTTACTGATAATAAATTGTCCACTGACGGGCAGTAAATGCAGTTCGCTATTGTAATGTTTAAAGAGTCAAGTTTAACAGTACCCCTGCCAAGCGACTGCAAGACTTGTGAATTGGCTAAATGTACATTACCAATTTCCTCTTCGAAAGAAATAAACTTCGATTGTTGCAAATGTGCTGGGACGCACCTGAGTCCGCAATAAAAGAATTCCACTTGGCACCTTTAATTCTTTTACGATCTGTTGTCCGAGCATGAAAAACTCGTGGCTTGTTTCTGTCTTTACAGATGTCGGCTGCTGGGCTGACGACCGTGATTGACGAACAGAAACAGACTTGGGAGTACTTTGCTTTCTTTTGGATCTGCAGTCCTTTGCAAAATGTCCTTGCTTATTGCAGAACCAACAACGCTTGGCAGCTTTAAATGCAGTTGTGTCACCACAAGTTTGCATATGGTGTTCCTCATTATTTCTGGAAATAGGAGTGCTTATGGCACAAGCCTCCCTTCTATCCAACTTGCCCATTAATCTTGCCGTTACTCCTTCCACAGTTAATTGTGCTGGTGGAACAGCAGATATCTGGCTAGCTATGCCATCAAAGTCCTCATTAAGGGAACAAAGAATGATAAAAACATACTGAATATCAGGTATGTCCATGTCCCTTCGAATTAATTCGCCGCGTATTGCCTCCAGACGTCTTAAGTGTGCTGCCAAATCACCACCAGGCTGCAACTTCGTCTGGTACAACTGCTTGAAAAACGTCAGTGCAGAGGCTGACTCTTTTCTAACATGCACTGCTGCAAGACTGTTCCACATTTCTTTGGCAGTTTTCTTATTCCTTATATAGACTACTTGCTGGTCGCTGACTGCCAAATTCATTATTGCCCTGGCTTTTGCATCTCCTTTCGACCAAGCATTAGTTACAGGGTTAGGAGGGTCATCAGTTACATAGGTCCATACTTCTCTAGAGGTCAAAAGCACCTCCATCCGAAAAGACCATAAACTATAGTTCTCATCTGTTAGCTGTGGGAAGACCAAAGCCTTCTCAGCTTCTGGAACCCAATCAACCATTCTGGAACTCTTCCAGACCCACAGAAACTACACTAACAGGAGAAGGAGTTTTCAAACCTTTCTCAGAGTCCAAAAATATGCAGTCATCCACTCAGCAGCTGGGCCCATAACCAAAGATGTTGGCTATTTGCAGTATGGTAGTGCTGCAGAGAGCTTGCTAGGGAGACCATGCATTAAAAAGGGACTCAAAAAGTACTTAAACAAGGTTTTAATTACAAAAACAAAAACTCCTTATACACTAAATACATCAACAACAAACCAGACCCAACCCATTCCCCAGGGTAATGGGAGAGCTAGATGCTGCTCCTTATATACTACACCCAAATGCTGACACAGCTTAATCAATACAACTCAGAAGCACCTGCTATGTTTCACAGCTGTAAAGCTGGGTCTCGTTATTTTGCTCTGGCCCTTGCTCTGGCCCCTTAAAGACATACACATCGGGTGGAACAGTGATGAACCTTTACATTTAAAGAAACCATTCAACACACTAGTGAGTTGGACTGTGTTCTCTTGCCTGCATCAGTCTCCTGGAGTGCATTTCCACTGTTCCTGATGTCTCAGAGACCCCTATGTTTGCAGAGTTGGGAGCACCTCTGCTTCTGGTGATATTCCTCTCTCCCCTGAACTGTCAGTTGTTGCTGCTGCAACATCTTCTGATGCCCTGTGAGTACCTCCTAAGTCCCCAACCTGCCCTTCCACATCTTTAGCTTGTCTCAGGGTGTACCAATCATGGCTACACCCTTCGCCAGGTTCCTCTTCCCCTTCCTCAGTGTCCTGTCAGTTCATGACAGTGGCCCTGAGCATAGTCAGTAGGTGGGGAGTGATTGTATATGGATGAAGACTGTCCCCTAACAGTCCTTTAGTACAGGCCACGAACAAAACCTGGCTTGGGTGAAGAGTCTTTGTGTCACCAAGCACAACACAACTGTAAGTACACAAGCCCCACACTGGCAAGTCTATGCAAACCCTGAAATGTCTGGAAACATCATCAGCTCAACATCAGGAGATCAAACAAGGGTCACACAGAAATGTTTACACTCATTGTGTTCATAAACATTGACATAGCCCCAGTATGATACTTCCAGAATTAAACATCTCCTTTGAAATGACAAGTTACAGAGTTCTTCTGAACACATACAGAGTATCTTTCACTCTCCTCTCAGCGCCCTCCACATCTGGGGGCTACAAGGGTAGAACTTCCAGAGGAGGTGACCAGGTAGCCAAAGAATGACCCCTAACATCTCTTCTTTTTAGAAATGAGTTAGCATGTGCACCTCATCCCTAGCAGACACTCAAGACCATTGAGTTTAAAAATAAAACCAAAGTACACGATAGCCATGAGAGCTACATCTTTTTAAAAATGCCCAACAGCCATGGAGAGTGTTCATTGCTGCTATAAAGTCATTTTGCCTGAGAACCTTGTCTATAATTCTTCCCAAGTTAGATAGTCCTGGATAGTAAACAGTTATGTTCCCCACCATTCCCCATGCACCTATTGTGAGGAGGTAATTTCAGCTTCTTCCTTAGAATCAAATTACAGAAGCCATTACCTTCTCTTTTTTATGTGGGATGATGGTCCACAGTCTCTTTGAGGAGCAGAGTTGTTGCTTCTAACCCCCATCTCTCCCCAAGCCAAGCATAAAAGAGCTGTAAGGAGACAGCATGCATACAAAGAGCAAGCCTGACCCCTGCAGGGCAATTGTCGATAATATGATTTGCCAGGACTGCAGATAAGCTATTCACACAGTAAGAGAAATGTTTCCTCAATGCAGAAAGAGGAATCAGCATTTGGGGGACTTCATTCAGGATGACTGTCAGCACAAGGCAACTGCTGGCTGCCTTCTATCTCTTTGCAGCTTGTAGGTCTGAGATATACCGGCTCTGAACATGGATGTTTCATTTGGCTATCATAGCAGGCAGCACTAGCCTCAGAGGTTGACATTGTTGGGTATCTGTTGAAGCCCATACCCAACCAAGAGGCCCTACTGCTGACCCCCAATCTACCTTTCTCTGTGTTTGCTGCCCTCTCCAAATATGCAAGCAAAAGCATCTAGAAAGCAGTTCTTGCCTTGGCCTCTTTTTAGGGCAGTGGTGCTGATTTAGAATCAACCCAGGGGGAGAGGGCAAATGAATGGGCAGTGGTGACAGTGGCAAAGAGGTGGGCCTACCAAGAGCATTTTGGCCAATCCCATCACCACCCCTGAATTGGATGTGGAGGAGAAGCACAGGAGGCAAGAAAGCAAAAGGGGCAAAAAGTATAGGACCAATGGGTGGTATCCAGTGTTAGACCTACTCAGAGTAGACTAGTTGAAATTAATGGGTATGTCTAACTTAAGTTCATTAATTACAATCGGTCTACTCTGAGGAAGATTTAGTTGGCTATAACCCCATGGCAATCAGGATGTTGGAGACAGTGAAACAAATGACGTTTTGGGTGGAAGATGGACTGCAGCAGAATGGAAACAGTGCTGCATGTGATAATTACAGGGCAGAACAGAAAATGGTGCCTTATTGCATCCCAGAATGGCAAGCCCTGGGGAGTAGGACAGGAGGAAAGCCTACCCAGTGAAAACCCATACAGTGGAGGATAAGCTGAGGCTGAGATGGGAATGACTTGCCCATGGTTCCCTAGCGAGTTGGCGGCAGAGACAACATTTGAACCAATAACTTCTGGAGTCATAGCTCAGCTTCTTAGCCATTATGATATAACATCCCTCATTAAAAATGAACATATCCTCTTTGGCTTTACCCAATGCATGTTTTGTTTATAATGCATTCCAGTCAAGTTGCTAATTCCTGGCATTTGACTCAGCTAGCATGGAGCGGGGAGGGGGGGGGATATACTTGTAAAAAGCAACCAGGTGATATCACCCTGTACTACGTTGTTTCATGCTTCAGTCCTTGAGTTGTCTGAGATTTATTGGTAGTTCCTGGATAGCTCACCTCTCTGCACAAACTGTAAATGATGAGGTCTCTAAGAGGCATAAGAACTTAAGATGAACCTGCAGGATCAGGCCAGTGACCCATCTAGTTGAGCATCCTGTTCCCATGGTGGCCAACCAGATACCTATGGGAAGCCTGCAAGCTGGGCATGAGCGCAACAGCACTCTGTCCAACTACACTTCTCAGCAACTGGTCTTCAGAGGCATGATGCCTGTGACAGTGGAGATGGAATGCAGCCATTGTGACTAGTGGCCATTGATAGCCATGTCCTTCATGGTTTTGTGTAATCCTCTTTTAAAGCCACATGACCAGGAAGCTGTACACCGGCTCCCTCGGCCAATAAAGCAAGATGAACGCCGCAACCCCAGAGTCGTCCGCGACTGGACCTAACGGTCAGGGGTCCCTTTACCTTTAAAGCCTTAGTTAGAAATAGCTGTCCTAAATAGTTGGGATTTTGAAACCCATGTAAAAATGCACAACATAGAGCTCTTGAGCACTGCAAGGGGAAAGAATTGTATATAGTGGGGGCCACCACAGGAAAGGGCTTGTCTCTCATGCCTACCAACCAAGTTTACCCCATAGTCGACATGAGGACAATAGCCCTTTCTCGCTGTTTCTCAATCTGTGTTATTTAGAGCATACGCACCAGCTCCTAGGGGCCAAGCCACTCTTGACACCCCCCTTTTTTAGGAGGCCGGGCCCCTCAATGTTCAGAGGGTGATCAGCTCCACCTTTTGGCTCCTTGTGGCATCAGGACACTGCACAATGTAAGGACGTTGAATCAGGCCCCCTCAATCATCTTGGGAAGAGGGCTCCTCTTAAGAATGAGAAATGTTTATTATGTATTTACAAAAGTAAACAGGTTAATACATTGGCAGAATTTTAAGGATTTTGGAAATAATACAGGAAAGTTGAGGTAGAAAAATAATTTGCAGTAGAAATGATATGCAGTTGAAAAAGAAATTTAAGGAACCAGGGGAGGGGGAGTGAGGGAAGTCAAGGGATTCAGAGAATCCCATTTTATGGATTTGATATCGCTTTTGTGTATATTTTTCTTTGTTTGTGGTTGTTGTGTTTGTGGTTGTTTGTTTGTTTGTTTTTGTTATTTCTGTTGAAAATTTAATTAAAATATTATTTTAAAAAGAGAAGATGACTCTTCTGATTCAGAGGCAAGCTGCCTCTGCTCTTAGAGGCAGGACATTTAGCCATAATGACTACTAACTACTGATAGCTTTATCTGCCTACAGCTACGTAAACCTCACTGAGTTCAATGAGACTTACTTTTGAGTATGTGTGCATAGGATTGTGCTCCAAGTCTCTCTTGGTCCTTTGATCCCTTCACAAATCTGTGGGATTCTCACTTTGGACATGAGGGGGCAGTGTTAACTGTTGTATGACTCCACTGCTGGAGGAAATTCCTTTTAATACTGATATTGAGGAAGGAGTAGTTTGTTATCTTTTACTAATCCAAAGTTTTTATATGGCAAAACATAGAATGCCATTTTCTTTTCCAAAATAGCACCCGCCACACAT